ACTATCGTACCCCACTATACGATCGTGATTTGCGGGATGTCGCGTTTATCTACCCTTCACGATTCAAAATAAAGGCCTTGTGTCTGCCCAGCTGTTTTGACCCGGGAAGCAGACAGTTTCTCGGAGGTCAACTTCACACGTATGCTTGTACACAACACCTGGGTGGTCATATTTGTATGTGAGGTTCAAAACAGCTTTGCGTTTATCGATCTCTCAGAAACGTGATTCTGGCTGTATGTCACATTCAAAACGCACCTTTTTGCGTCTTTAGATATGCCCATATCTAAAGACGTTTGAAAAAGGCTTTGCGTTTATCTACGAGCGCGTTTATCTAGGCTTGCCACTAGATATGTACATATCGTACCCCACTATCGAACCCCACTATCGTACCCCACTATAGGATCGTGATTTGCGGGATGTCGCGTTTATCGACCCTTCACGATTCAAAATAAAGGCCTTGTGTCTGCCCAGCTGTTTTGACCCGGGAAGCAGACAGTTTCTCGGAGGTCAACTTCACACGTATGCTTGTACACAACACCTGGGTGGTCATATTTGTATGTGAGGTTCAAAACAGCTTTGCGTTTATCGATCTCTCAGAAACGTGATTCTGGCTGTATGTCACATTCAAAACGCACCTTTTTGCGTCTTTAGATATGCCCATATCTAAAGACGTTTGAAAAAGGCTTTGCGTTTATCTACTTCTAAATTTGCTTGAAAGACGTTTGAGAAACCTGATTCTAGCCAAAAATTTGCTAGATAAACGCAACCTACTTCTAAATTTGCCTGAAAGACGTTTGAGAAACCTGATTCTAGCCAAAAATTTGCTAGATAAACGCAACCGTAGATGGACCTGGTAATGGGGATTAATGCCTTACCAAAGGCCACTAGCGCATCGACTTGGTTTTGAATCAGGGTTGCCGGATTACGAGACCAATGCTCTACCAGCTAAACTATTGCACCAGCTCAAGAGAAAGAGAGATGCTCAACAGTATTCTCAAAATCCAAAAGCCCATCATGAAAATTGATCTCAGATAGTTACTGTACAAATTGCATGCAAATCTACTGGTACCTATTTATACAAATAATACACAGCAGTGATGGCATTAGTAAGAATTACCCACACAAGGTACCTTTGGAACAGTCTAACATGCCCAAGGCAATAGCCGAGGGTGTTTGGACTGTTTTGAAGGTACCGAGTGTGGGTAATTACACTAATGCCCGAACAAAATGATGTGTATTATTTGTTTTATAAGATTATGTTAATTTGTTTTTTATAAAAATGATGTTTTATAACATGATTTTGATAATGACCGGTCATTACCCAAATTACGGGTTAGGCCGAATAAATGTCTGGTCACGTGTACACTTTCAACCAATCATTTGATTAGGATCCACTTCATCATCTTATAATATATATATATATACTATGACCCCTTTCTCACTCACTTCCTGGACCGATCTACGTAACAGCGGTCCAATGGCGAGTGTGAAAGCACAACCGTGCCAGGAGGCGTACCTCTGGACCGATCCTGAAGACCTGGTCACCATGTGGTAGTATTCAAAATTATTCAAATGGCATGATTTGCTTTTGTAGCTGGCTCAGGAACAACGAACACATTTCAGTACGCAAAGTCACTGATGAAAATAACAGTCATTTCATATGGGGAAAATAATACTTTTGAAATAATGGATTATGATAAATTAATTGTAAAAATGAAGGGCAAATTCAGAAGAATCAGAAATTATTACTCTCTGCCATGACAACTGACGATAATGCTCTTAATTCTCACGAAAGCGTGGCGCTGCAAAATCACCCTGAAAATTCAGTTCAGTTCAGCTCACTCAAATCAGTCAAGTTACACCTGTGCATGTATCCATGTACATGTGCAGAGATGAATATGAGTGACTGAATGACAAATCTGTATGAATGTACATGACTACCTTTATGCAAGAATAATACAGTTTGTAAAATTGTATTTTACAATCTAGAGGCCATTGATTCATTTGTGGTGCATCTAGGCCTACACACGTAGGCCTAAATTTGTGCAAGATCAGAATACTTGTATGCACCTTAAGGTTCATTCATAACCTCTCCATTTTAAGTTATGAGTCACTATTATTTAGAGTGGTGTCTCCATTTCCTTCCTCTATATGCCCATAATATTTCATACATATTGCTTGTAATGTAGAGGCCTACAGTCTAAATAGACATGACCTACACTTGACCTGGAGTGAGGAAAGGTCATAATTTGGTTGCCTAGAAAGGAGTGTGGCAAATCCATCGAATTGAAATTTAGGAGCGCAGAAATTTAAAGAGAATAAGAGACGGTACAAATGGTTTGGTGATTTTGTCCCATGCTCCTTTCAGGATCACCACACATTCTTCTTTTCAAATCAAGTACCTGGAACAGATAGATGGTATCGGCACCTTTAAAGAATTCTTTTAAAGGGAAATCCAACCCAATTAGACAACCACTCTAAAAGAAAGCAGAGAAATCAGAGAAGCAAACTGATGAAAGTTTGCTTTTCCCATTTTTATTTTTTATTTCATGTGTGTGAGTGCCCTCTTTACTTCCACCACAGTAAAAACTTCAGATCTTTCAACCCAACACCAATCACTTGACTTAAAGGGAAATCCAACCCAAATAGACAACTACTCTAAACGAAAGCAGAACAATCAGAGAAGTAAACTGAGGAAAGTTTCAAGAAAATTGTGAATTTTTGAAAGTTGTAATCACTATTTGTATGGGCACTTCAAATTAGCTGAAGCGGTAATGTCAGTGATGTAGTCAGGACTACTTTCCCATCTTTTCCAACATTTAAAATGATTAAAATTAAATTTTCCCCAAAAAATCATTGCTCATGGTCGAGGGTCTCTTTTAATAGGACCCATAATTATATGCTATCTATGATATATTTTGATTAGTGCCCCAAGGGAGAAGGTAATTACGAGCAAAACAGAAATTAATGATATTTTTGTACACAGTAAATTGGAGAGTTATCCACATCGTACGTCTCAATCCACTGACCAAACAACCAATTTGAGATTAGCATAGACTTAGGTTGCGTTTATCTAGCAAATTTTTGGCTAGAATCAGGTTTCTCAAACGTCTTTCAGGCAAATTTAGAAGTAGATAAACGCAAAGCCTTTTTCAAACGTCTTTAGATATGGGCATATCTAAAGACGCAAAAAGGTGCGTTTTGAATGTGACATACAGCCAGAATCACGTTTCTGAGAGATCGATAAACGCAAAGCTGTTTTGAACCTCACATACAAATATGACCACCCAGGTGTTGTGTACAAGCATACGTGTGAAGTTGACCTCCGAGAAACTGTCTGCTTCCCGGGTCAAAACAGCTGGGAGACACAAGGCCTTTATTTTGAATCGTGAAGGGTCGATAAACGCGACATCCCGCAAATCACGATCGTATAGTGGGGTACGATAGTGGGGTTCGATAGTGGGGTACGATATGTACATATAGTGGCAAGCCTAGATAAACGCGCTCGTAGTGATCTCATATTTCAAACATTTCAAACAACTTCCGTACTATTGGTCCGATTCATTTAAAACTTTGCCATTCTGTTATTTTTCTGCTTTCATACAAATCAACTTATTACAAGGTTGTAGTGCCCTTTAGGTAATAATATAGTAAAATTGGAAGGTTCAAAAACAAATTCCATGGTCTAGTTGGTCTAGCGGTACATTCACTTGGTCAGCTGTCTGTCTTCGCCTACAAACTGGCTCAGTTGACCCTGGTTCGAAACTGAGTCAGAGTCTTTCGGGTGTTGACATTAAAGGTCGACCCCAGACGTAATAATCATATCTGATTGATTCATATCTGTAAAAACCCAATTACACAAATCAGAGCTACCAAGTGTCACACATTTTGAGGGTCTTAAAATGCTCTCACACACGATGCACTTGTGCGATTTCGAAAAAACGCTTTACCTACGTTATATGCGCACTCGCTCGCCGAGTCATGAAATGTCACACATAGTTGATCTTTTATTTGTCGTGTCTGACAACTTCGGATAGATTGAAAGCTAGAAGTCAAGCAAGCAGTGTCTGCCTTTTGTTTCCCTTGGCATACTGTGTTGTCATGTGCACTGCTGTCTTCCTTCGCATCATATGCTCTGCAGACATGAAATACAACACTGTGCATTCACATTGGCCAGCTGCAATTCAATTACAGCTAAACATTCATACTAGTCATATTTAGTTCAGGGTATTTAATTCAATAGATCAATTACTATGTGAAATGTGCTCCATGTACTGGGTGATCACGTGCTTTTTTTCTGTGTACCTGTTTATATCAAGATATCAGCATTGCTTGTCTGATTTACGATATCATTTCCTCTTACTTGTAGCGCTTACATTAAACTTAAAGGGATCGTTTAACAATGTTAAATCTGAGATACACGGCCCTACGTGTTATCAGTGTCTGTGATATGGTGTAATATTGAAGCCGTAAAAAAATTGCGCTTCAAAATGATCAAGAAGTGCCTCAAAAAAGTAAAAATCTTTGAGTGACCGGTTTTACCATTCTCAATTTCCCCAATAGACTGTAGTGTTATGAAAACCGTCAGGCGAACAGTTTTCAAAATTTGTAATTCCAATCATAAATATCTTGATAATCAGACAGGCGATCGGCTTGTAAAAGTCATTGGGTTCCTGACTGACCTAAAGGTTTATAATTATCATTGCATCATGAGCTAAATCCAGAATTTTGTTTCAGAATCTGAGACAAAGTTACCGGATCACTTTAAGCATGTATGTGTACAGTTTGAATGAAATTCCTGAACATAGCAGTGTAATAAGCATTGACATTCAAATTTGTTGTACATTTCATCTGGATCTGTGAGAATGCCATATCTATTATCATTACCAGAATCCAAGATTACTTTCTAATTCCCTATTGACACGTATATATACTCAATTGAATATAAAAGTAAATTTCATGTTTTGTTTTGCTTTTTCCTTCTTTGTGTTGTATTACAGTGCTGGACCAAAAGGAGACAACATTTATGAATGGGTATCCACCATACTTGGTCCAACAGGCTCAGTGTATGAGGGCGGAGTTTTTTTCCTTGATATTCACTTTTCTCCAGACTACCCATTCAAACCACCAAAGGTAAATATTTCATATATATATATATATAGCGTGGTCCAGAAACGAAAATTGAAACCTGTAAAATTGGAATAGGGAAAGAGTATATTAAACTTTGATCCGAAGCACAAAGTCCCTTTTAGTTGGGATCTAGAGCTTGCTCAAGGGCCATAAGTTTTGTAGGTCCACTCTGGTGCAATCTGATCCATATTTTAATTTGTTGAAGCATATTCAAACAAAATATTCAACTTTATGACTAACTTTTCATATGTATTTTTGGTTAAGAATGAATATTAACTTGTTATGCTGATTTTCAAACCTGTTCAATCAAAATCCAATCCTGTAGGCTGATTTTCAAACCTGTACAATAACAATTTAAACCTGTTGCTGTTACATGTAATAACCCCTTGTGGATTACTCAGATGTATTACGGAAGAGGTGCTTAGAAGAGCAAAATGATTCTTCTTTTATTGTTAAATAAATGGGAAAGTTATTGCATACTTGGGTTTAAATATCAGCTTGAGCATTAATGGCTAAATTAGAAATGTTAAAAATTGACAATATTGCCTCCATGGAAACATGTTGGTCAGGGAACTTACATGTAGATTTACCTAGATATTTACAGAGTATTACCACACAATTTTATTCATGAAAAGGAAAATGTCAAATATGATGTCATTAAAAAGAGACATAAATATACGTCATGATCCTCATGATCACAGAACTCTGATTTCTGATTTGTGTAATATTCCACTTACATGAAGAGGAAGAACAAGACTTCAATTTTACAGCAACTGATTTTTTAATTTTTTACTGTTGTTCAATAAAAAGAAAACACAATAAAAAAAGAAATTGCATCTGCTCAAAGTAAAGTACGGTTCTTTGAAGCATATCAGTCACCTAAATATCAGATTGTGTATAGCTTGTAGCTAGCATGTACTACATGTAAGTTGTGCCAAAAAAAACTTAATCTAGCATGTCAGGTAAATCTGTCTCAGTCTGAAATTCTCACTTTGCAAAACAGCTCTCTGGTGTTTTGTACCCACTTATTGCATTTGTAAATTGATATCCTTTTGGTTCTAAACCATTTTCACTTTTCATTTGTTTAATATTTCACTTACAGGAAGAGAAAGAAAAGACATTACAGCAACTTATAATTTTATACCATCTTGTTGTTCATCAATAAAAAATATAATATGGAAATAAAAGATTTTTGGTTCTTGCCATAATATGCCTTTGCTTAAAGTAAGCTACAGTTATTTGAATGCGCTTAAAAGTTTATCAAAACTATCAATCACCAACAAAACTAAACTATGTTTGGCTAGCATGAATTATATTCCACATACTAAGAATCTTGCTCTATGATTGGTCAAAAGTAAATCATGTGATGAAAGATAGTTCGCCCATCATTGATGGGAGAAGAAAAGTTTGTTGCACTGTGTAGATAGTAGTACTATCTACACAGTGCAACGCACTTTCACTGAAGATAGAAGTACTATCTACACAGTGCAATGAACTTTAATCGTATTCGTTGGGAAATGCTCTCCTATTTAAGCGCCTTTAGTGTCAGTACGTGAACTTTGGTCACGCGCGAACTATGGTCACACCACCATACTGCATACACTGTACGTTTTGTACATCGTTTACTAGCTGGTAATTGATGACTTGATGCTCTAAAATGACGGAAGAAGTGAAATGTTTCCAATGTGGAATATAAAGCAAATAATCACCTGTTGGTTTCAGGCGATAGCAAACTATCACTTCCTCGGAGATGTGAATGTATACGCTATCTTTCCTCAGCTTTGTTACGGAAAGATTGCTACATCCAGATCGCCTCGGAAGTGATAGTTTGTCCCATCACCTTCACAAATGGTAATTATTTGCTTATTTAATCGTCCTAAATCCCCTAAATAAATTTACCTTCATGTAGCATTCTACTGGTTAACTGTGCACGGACGTGTATCTCAAAACTATCATAAGTCTAACTCTTGACTAAATCAGCGTTATAAAGCTACTTGTCCACGACGTGTTTCACAAAGGCATAAATGTTTTCGGGTTGTCCGTCCCGTTTTCTCGTTATCGCAATATCTCAAGAACAACTCAAGTTATGAACTTCAAACTTGATGATAGCGTGCATCACCATAGGAAGACAATCTGATCAGATTATGGAGTAACAAGGTCAAAGGTCACAGAGGTCAACAATAGGAATTCCAGGTATTGGCCTCGTTAGCGCGATATTTCAAGAACCACTAGGGACATGAGGCTCAAATTTGTTGATAATATGTATTACCATAGGAAGATGATCTGACAAGATTTTGGATACATGCTGTAGGTCAAATGTCACAGAGGTCAATTTATGAAATTACAGGCTTTAGCCTTGCCATTGCGATATCTTAAGAACTAGAGATATGGAGTTCAAAGTTGTACTGTTTTCACACTGGCAAAATTTTGCTTAACCCCAGACAGATGGGGTTAAAGGGGGGTCTTAGCCCCACCTATAGTCTGGGGTTAAGCTTATTCCACTCTCTGTTCAGACACGTATTTACCAAAAAGGGGCTAGCCCCACCTATAGTACAGGGTTGGCTGGCCCTGCAAAATAGCAGGGCTAACCTCGCAATTGTGGTGCTAACTCTGCAATTGCAGTGCCAAGCAATTGAAAGAGAACAAAAACGAAAAATAGTCCGGTACAACGCACTGGAGCGAATTAATGGATATTCGCGCTATACAGCTAGTGCGGGGCTAACAAATTGCAGTGAGAACAGCAAGATTTTTCTTATTCTGGGATAGGCGCTAAGTACAGGACTACTTAAGCGTGTGTGAAAAGCAAACAAATTAGTCAGGCGTTAAGGATAGTATGGGGCTAAGAAAAGTATGGGATAAGCAAAACAATTTTTAAAAGAGTATTAGTGATAGTATCTATCCTCATTGGAAGACGATCTGATTACCGTAGATGTTTGGTAAGTAGGTCAATTGTCAAAGGTCATAGAGGTCATTTTCTGAAAATTCTGGTTTTATCCATTTTATCGCAATATCACCATTAGAGGTAATAGCCTCAAACTTGGTGATATTACCGTATCAACGTAGGAAGACAGTCTCATTAGATTTAAGGTAAGTAGGTCCAAGGTCACAGACATCAATTTCTGAAAGTAAAGGTTTTTAGCCTTGCTATCTAAATACCGGTATCTAAACAGTAACAGCCTTTTCACACACAGCTAAAATTCTATAAACATGATTAGTTTAAAGGGCTTTAAACTAATCACCTGAACATACGACATCATTCACACACAGAAATTTTGGTGCGATCGTTAATCGTTTCATGATTAATAATATTACTGCTCGTCAAATGCGCAGTAGTGCCATTGCGCATTGAAGGTCATGTCATATTAATCAAAGCGCACGCTCCATCCAGTTTAAACACATCTGAAACACATTTAAACACAAATAACCTTTCACACACAAAATGTCAAGCTCTCTAGATACGAACTTCGTATCTGCAGCCTTCTTTTAGGGGCGTATGAATCGCGACTTCGTATCTATCCCAACATCGTATAAACGATGTTCACACAGGGAAAATTGTTTATAAACATGTTTAAAACTGTTGAGTTAAACACGTTTATACTAATCATCTCTAGATACGATGGATTTTAGCTGTGTGTGAAAAGGCTGTAGGTCAAGATCATAGTCTTTTAATATAAACTTTTTGTTTACATCGTGATATGTCATGAATAATTTCATTCATTTCCTATACTGAATTTAGGGTGGAGGCATGTTATAGGAGACGCAATCGCATTTGTCTTGTTAGTAATCATGTTAAACTCAATATTTAAATTGTTCTCAGTATACTCTACTGAAGAAAGAAATGTTCTTGATTGGTAAGCTGTTTTATGATACATGTAAATATGTACATCCTGTTCGTACTAATTCATACTACATGTGATTCATTTCTTATCATCACATGTGCAGGTGACATTTCGCACACGCATCTATCACTGCAACATCAACAGCCAGGGCACAATCTGTTTAGACATCCTGAAAGATAACTGGTCTCCAGCCTTGACCATTGGCAAAGTTCTTCTCTCCATCTGCTCCCTTCTCTCAGATTGCAACCCTGGTATGTAGTAGGTTCACACCTGAGTTCATCTCCTTTAGTTGGTGTTTTGTTTGGTTATTTCCTTATTGCCATCAATATTCAAATGATTTGGATTCTTCTAAGATTTTTGATTCTTCCTTGCAGTAGACAAGAAATCCTATCTGGGAATTAGAATTTTGAAATTTTAATCTAAACAATTCGTTCAAAATTCTAATTCTAATCATGAAAATGTGATGATTGCCTAGTTCAATATGAATGTATTTCAAAATTCAAAATGAATTTGTTTGAAAGACTAGGAGAGAAAATACCTTTTATGACATAAAAACATAACTATAATAATATTATAGTCATTCAATTCAAATACATTTAAACGGCACAGGAGATTTAATGAGCTTATTCTACGTAAAAAAATGCCCTGATGCTAGAAAGGGGCAAAATTGCCCCACACCCTCCCCCATCAAAAACAATATGGTCATTTTGGTCACCTTTTGGCCAAATAAAAGTTGTTTTGATTTTATACCAAAATTAGGCCAAATTTTCAGTCAGAATCAATTGATGGATGAGTTCTGACATGCTAATTCAATATAAAAATGTGCACTAATATCAGAATCACCAATCTCTTTGAACACATTTACACAGTTCAGACCACTTTGGTCATTTTGATCAGTGGCTAGCGTTTTGCTGCGCTTCACTGGTTGAAGGAAGTTGACTTGCATGCTGAAAAATTGGCCTGTCGGGCTTGCTGGTGGGGCGCTGTTAATTATGAATACACCCTGTGAAGTAGTAAAAGGAGACCAATTGTAGCTACCAATTGATATTTCAAATAAATCTGTTTGCTTTTGCCGAGTCATCAATTATTGGTTGAAATATTGTTTGCAATGTATCCTTTCAATCTTACTCTCAGGTAACCTTTGTAAGTCCCAATAGATATTTTAGGTCACATGGGGGCGCTGTTTATCAATGTGGATTAGATAGAATGAGTGTAGTTCAACCAGTTAAGGCAGCAAAATTGTAAAGGCAGCAAAAATATGTTGTGTGTGTGTGTGTGTGGGGGGGGGGGGTGTGGGTTAATTTATGTTTGTGTGTGTGAGTTGTAGTTATCGTCGCTGCTTGTTGACTGTACGAAGTACCTGTTTTTATTTGCTAATTTGCTAAAATTAAGTGAAATTCAACATTTACACACACAAAAAAAAATGTTATTCTCGATAACCCCCCCCCCCCCCCCCCCCCCAAAAAAAAAAAATCATTGGATAACAATTTTTTTATTTTAATTTTTTTTTTTAATTAAAAAAACCCTGTAAATATGATTTATCGTAGCGAGTACTGTGCAGTATGGCGGCCATCCAACATTCGCTGAGAAAGAGGGAACAGTATCAAGTATTCTCTTAATAGAAACCAATTTTTCATGGAAAACTGATGTTGTGATGACCTGAAAATCAATATTTAGCAAATTTGTGTGAGCAAATCGCCAACAATTTCAGATAATAATGCATGCATGCGTCTGTGTAGTGCTGGCATGCCGTTTTTTAGATTCATAGCGCCGCCTAGGAGATTACTGATTTATTCCCCAAATCACTGATTTTGAGCCTTGTGATTACTGATTTTCTGTTCTGGAGGTTGGCAGCTCTGTATTGACTGACTAACTGACTTCTTTTTTTCTTCTTTTCAATAACATACATAAAATGAGCTGTAAAGGGTACATGAGCTTCAATAACCCAATTCTTGTAATGGCGAAAATTAAACTGATTGAATCCTTGCGCAACACAAAACAAACAACCATTTGGTACAAGAGTCTGAAAATCAGACTATCACTATTACTTTAGTGATTGCAATCACTGAAGTTGATTCAACAACTAATAGTCGTTATTTTCCCACTTAAAGACATTTTCAAGCCCTTTTGTTTTAAGGGAGGTTCTATATTAGTAAAATCTTTCAAATGCTGTTGGAAGTTAACTTTTTCATTTTTTGGCGTGCAAATGGGACATAGTACCGGGAATGAATATTTACAAGTTGGCTGAAGAAAATTTCACAATTCTCGCTATCACCAAAACCCCCTAATTCCGGGATGTGCGCCTCTCAGATTTAATTTTGAGCCACTTGCATTATTTGCATACTTCAGGTGTAAAGTACATGCATGCGGTGCGCATGCGCGCCACATAACACATATTTTGCATGCGCAATATATCTGAAAGCTATCTCTAGATTCTCCCTTACCGGCTGCTAATGACTTTCTTGAAATTTGTTCACAAGTACATGACTTTTTGAATAGAAATACTCAGGGAAGCCCACTGCATGCCCATCAATTTGCAATTGCTCTTTGTCAAGGTGCCACAAACCAGAGTCGTGGTCATGCAGTGAATTCAAACTTATCATGCCTTTGGAACAACCTTTTCCATGTTATGCGCTGTGAAAGTTTTGACTGATAATTCAGTTTGTAAAAAATCGAAAAATTGCTTACAATATACTATATAAAAAACAAAGACAAAGCGAAAGGTACCACAATCCAACTATTACATTGTGTATATAGACAGCTAGCTGGCCGAGACCAGACAGCATGGAAAGTGCGTAAATCACAGTGGCTATACCAGAGTGCATTTGAAATGGGGGCGTGAAACTAACATCAGGGGATTAAGGGGTATTCACAATAGCAAGAATTACTGCAAGTAATTTAAACAGAGCTCATCGGCATAGATACTATCCTTTTTACGCTACCTAAACATCTTTATTTTGATTCTTTTTTTTTCTCTGGTTGACTCCACAGAGGATCCCCTTGTTGGCAGTATAGCAACCCAATATCTGTCAAACCGTGAGGATCACGACAGATTAGCCAAGCAATGGACACAGAGGTTTGCAACATGACGCAGGAGAGGTCTGCTAAATTGCGGGCTACTCTCTTACATATTGTACAGTTAAAGGAAAAAAGTTTCATTTTTTAAAGTTGCGGGCTGTGGTCTGCCAGTGATTGAATCCCCATTCCTTTGTTTGTGTATTTTTCATTCTTCTCTCCATGGCCTGACCTTTATATCCCATTTGGTGTAAGTACTGACATGTATTGTACGGGGCCATTGCCAGGTATCATCATCTCAATTTATTTAAATGGTTGGAACAGGAAACTATACACAGATGTCTCCTCTAAACCTAAATGCGCATGTCATTCAGTAAAAGCCAAGTCTCAGCTCTCAAAAGTGATTTGTTAAAAAGTAGAAAAATAGATGAAGCAATTAAACACTTTATGTAAAATAAGAAAGAGAAAAAGAAAATTTACAATAAATCGGTCAATTAGATTTGTGGATATTTTCCCACACTATTTGTTTTATTATTTTTGTTCGAAATAAATGCCATCCTTCTATGGATGAATGATCAAATATATACAACATGGCATCATCAATTTATATTTATCAGGAAGTCAATAGCTTTAATAGAGAGAGGAAGAAGAAAAAAATCTGTGAGAAAACAATGTTTAAAAAAAAGTCAGTAGTATACCTATGACATCACATTTCCACAACTAAGTCGCCCAATTGTCATAGGGCGCGTTCATGCTTGATTTTGACGGCCAGAATCAGGCATCTGTTACGCGTTTAGTTTAAAACACGATTGCGTTCATGCTCACTTTTGAAGAATCACCGAAAAACGGCGATCACGATCGCCGATCGTAAACTCACAAAAAGATGCGTTTACAATTTGTAAACGCGTTTAAATGGGGTCAACGCACTGACCTCTAGTGGGTCTACGTAGCATCCGCACACAGGTTTGCGAATCCAGCTGAAGGCCACCCAAGGAGAATTGCCTGGAGAAGTGAGCATGAACAGTGCACCGTGGAACTGCGATTACGATGAGCGTTTACGATGAGCGTTACAAATCGCTCATTCTGCCTTCAAAATCAAGCATGAACGCGCCCATAGTCTCTCTCTCTCTCTCTCTCTCTCTCTCTCTTTTCATTCAAAAAAATAATAACCCAGTAGATCATGACTTTCTTATTATTCTTAGATTTTCTGTTGACCTTTCTGACTCACCCTGCATTCAGACTACCAGAATTCATTGTATAGCTATACAATGATAAGCCCGCCCAGTTGGATGATTTATGGGCGATACAATGTTCTTACTAGAGCAGGATGCTCTGATTCTTTATGGGCGATAAAGAATCAGCATCCTGCTCTTGTAGGAACGTTGTATCGTACGAAAATCATCCGACTGGGCGGGCTTATCATGATTGGTTAGCTGTCATATCAATTGACCTCATAAAAATTATTTTGTTCACCATTGTGTTCAAGTCTACCGTATTTCAACCTTTTATCAGTCACAGCACCCTTTTCAGAAATAGAAGTTTTGCGTCACTCCCATCCCAAATTCATCACAGAATATTCATTGTGTATCACACTGAAACTTGTTTAGTGCCAAGCAAGCAAGCGGAGTGAAAATTCATTTGTGATATAAAAGATATGAAATTAGATATGTTGCACCTAGGTGTCAAATAGAATGATATATTCGGGGACCTCATTGCCAAAATCTGGAGGTATTCATATACTTCGCTGCCTGAAATCATAGTGTTCCTAAATAATGCGAGGCAAGCAAGGAAGAAATACACTGTTTGTCTTTAAAATGCTATTTCCCCATGAAAACATACTCAGTTTCTGATATATGGTGTTTTACGAAATCGACTCTATTTAGTCTATTCCAAATTTTTTTTTTATGAAACTAAATATCTCTGGCAGCAACCCGGTTGAAAAACATTGTTCTGTTCTGTATGCTCCTTGCCCTATACCGTAATTCTTTATTCTTGTATAAACAGGCTATACACATTTTTGGTGATAGAATTGTGCCCACTTCCAAAAGTTTGTATAGCTCACCCCTTTCTCTGTCTTCCCTGTCTTCTCACCCCTATCCTGCCACCCTACCTCACCCCACCCCACCCCACCCCACCCTGACCCATCCACCCAGCAAAGGTGACTATCGATGTCAACAGTTCCACTGGTAGGCCACATAATGAGTACTCTGTCAGTAATTATCATGTCTTGTGATTTTCACACTTTTCAAGGTGTTCTTGCATGTTTAAAATGACAATGGAAAAAAACTTAAAGACTTGTTCAAATCATTTGTTGAGATACATGTATGAGCACTGTTAGCAGGAGCTAGTAGACCAGTAGCTGTTGAAAATCAATCAGTCATGGATGGACGTCCAAGGTCAGTTCATGTTTTCATGAATAATGCATTGCTGCTGCTACATTATTGTAGCAAAATTATGCTGATCCTTGTGGAAAGATTTTTACTTTCAGTAATGTTGTTTGACTATACATAGAAAGAAAGCTGAGATTGATTTAGTTTGTTACTTTGTTGTTGGTCTGATGTTGGTCCTGTTGGTTTGACTGACACATAAGCACACTCTATTTCATGTTTCTTTCCTTGGCTCTCAAATCTGTCTGTCCCCACTTCCATATTCAATTTAGGGAGTGAAGTCTGTAGAATAATTATGTGAGAGTTCATGTGCATGTAAGTGTAAATTATGGACTCAGTATACTACAGTCAAATCTACCTTCTTTTTTGAAAGACCACATGTCTTCAAAGAGTCAAAAACCATATTGTTTCCCCCGAAATACAGGCATCATTTATTAAGAATGATGTAAAGGGAATCTGTGTATAGAAAGATCATGTATTTATTAAGACAACATTTTTGCCTCCCTTGAGTGATAGGTAGATACTTTATGTCCCCTATTTCCATGATATATTGCCAAATGTACCGTTCTAAGACATTTAAGCGTTTCATCACCATTTAGGGATGTTTAGCTGCCCTAAAAGAAAAGAAACTAATTCTAAACTTTTATGGATTGTTAAGAACAGCCATGTTTACAGCAAGAAACATTTGTAAATTACAGAAATTAGTTTTTATCGATTGTGATTCAATAATTCTGTGACATGAAACATTTTATGGTTATGGCCCACGTGCTAAATTTGTGAACATTTCATGCACAAGAAAGTTTCTGGTAATGCAGTATTCAAAACTCAGTCTTTGGGATGACATTGCTCTAGCAAATGGTTTGAAAATATTGTATTAACATCATTAAGGCTAATGCTGTTTTAGTGTTGCAAATGTGTCTGTTTGATATTCTTAAAAATAAATCAATGACCATAATCATTGAACATTATTACTAGAGCTGCTGTAGGCACCGAATATCTCTGCCAACATGTTGATATGAAATTGTAATTCAATTACAAAAATGTTGATTCTGTCATTACTTATGAAGATTTTTTTTGTGTGAGAGGGAATTGAAGTGTCCGTTCAGTTGCAATGAATACATCCACTGAGAGAAAAGAATTGAAGTGTCCATTCAGTGGCAAAGTGTGAATCCACCCTCTGAGAGGAAAAGAATTGAAGTGTCCGTTCAGTGGCAATGAATACATCCACTGAGAGAAAAGAATTGAAGTGTCCATTCAGTGGCAAAGTGCGAATCCACCCACTGAGAGGAAAAGAATTGGAAGTGTCCATTCAGTGGCAAAGTGCGAATCCACCCACTGACAGGAAAAGAATTGAAGTGTCCATTCAGTGGCAAAGTGCGAATCCACCACTGAGAGAAAAGAATTGAAGTGTCCATTCAGTGGCAAAGTGCGAATCCACCCACTGAGAGGAAAAGAATTGAAGTGTCCATTCAGTGGCAAAGTGCGAATCCACCCACTAAGAGGAAAAGAATTGAAGTGTCCGTTCAGTGGCAAGGAATACATCCACTGAGAGAAAAGAATTGAAGTGTTCGTTCAGTGGCAAAATGCGAATCCACCCACTGAGGGGGCATTGGAACAATTGTGAGGGGGGGGGGGGGCACTTTTTGTAAAATATCCACAATTTGTGGCTATTTTATGGATAGATGATAGATATGAACTGGACAACTATTTTTAAAATTTCTTTCTCTCTCTCTCTCTCTCTCTCTCTCTCTCTCTCTTTGGGTAATTACTTAAAATTCATCAAAGTGTAATGCCACATAATTGTTGATTTGTTACATTCAATTCTTGCTATTTAAACAAAATTTGGTGGTGCTAAATATGGCAGTTCTAAATGATTCTCAACAGCTTTCAGTTTCTTTAAAAGTTGGATGGCTTTGAAGGCTATAAAAAGAAATCATGAAGCTGCCATGTCCCCTATGTTGCCATAGAATACACATTTGAACAGTTTGAATGTTGTTTCCTATTTCTAGGAGGTATTTTTGCTATGTCTTCATGCAGGTATGTTTTGGACACTTTTTATGCCTCTGCCAACCGAAGGTGGTTGCTGGAGGCATTATGTTTTTCTGGTCGTCCGCCGTCTAGCTTTCTTGTTTAATATCGCGATATCTCAAGAACCATTTAAGTTATGAACTTCAATATCGATGATAGTATGTATCACCATGGAAAAATAATCTAACTAGATTTGGAAGTAACTAACAGCCTTTTCATACACGAGTAAAATTCTTTAATGCTGATTAGTTTAAAGCGCTTTAAACTAATCAGCTTTACATACGACATCATTCACACACAGAAATTTTGGTGCAATCGTTAATCGTTTCGTGATTAACTACTGCTCTTAAAATGTGCAGTAGTGCCATTGCGCATTGAAGGCCAGGTCATATCAAATAAAACGCATGCTCATCCAGTTTAAACTCGTATAACCATTCACACACAAAATGTCAAGCTCTCTAGATACGGGCTTCGTATCTACAGCCTGCTTTGAACGGTGTATGATTTGTGACTTTGTATCTATCCGAACATCGCATAAACTATGTTCACACAGAAAATTTTCTTTAAAGCTGTTTAAGACTGTTGAGTTAAACAGTTTTAAACTAATCAGCTCTAGATATGATGAATTTTAGCTGTGTGTGAAAAGGCTGGAAGTCAAAGGGCAAAGGTAACAGAGATCAACTTATTGAATTCCAGCTATTTGCCTTGTTATCCAGATATCTCAAGAACCACTTGAGATAATATTTTTCACTATAGGAACACAAACTGATTAGATTTTGGGTTAGTAACATCAAATGTCACAGAGGTCAACTTCTGAAATTCAACTGTTAGCCTTGTTATCGCAAAATCTTTGATATATGAGGCTCAAACATTGTGATAATATGTATTACCATAGGAAGACGATGTGCCAATTCAATTTTGGGGCTAGTACATTGTAAGTCAAGATCATAGTCGTCAGTTATCATTTGATTATAGGTTTTTTGTTTTCATTGTGATATGTCATGAATAATTTTATCTATTTCCCATACTGAATTTAGGGTGGAGGCATATTATAGGAGACACTTGCATTTGTCTTGTTATGTGATTGTTCAGCCTTTTTTGTCAGTTTATTAGTGTGACTAATTGATACCTTGCCTTCATACATCATATTCATGTTTTGTGGATGTGGTTACAAATTCATGTAATTGAATGATTATTATTTGTCCAAAGAGGAATTCTATAACATGT